CTCGCTCAGCCAGCGAGCGGGAACCGGTCTGTATGTGGGATCCGAACCCTCGGCGGGAGCGCCGCCTCACTCGCAAGCGGCGCACTGTAGCAGTGTGCCACCGGGTCGGCCCAGATAGAGAAACTTTCATCCTTTCATTCACTCAACAAGTATTTATGAGCACCTCCTGTAGAACCCTCGGCGGGAGCGCCGCCTCACTCCCAAGCGGCGCACTGTAGCAGTGCGCCACCAGGTCGGCCCAGATAGAGAAACTTTCATCCTTTCATTCACTCAACAAGTATTTATGAGCACCTCCTGTATTGCCAGGCACAGGAGGTATTCAGCACAAAATAAACACCTATCCCATTCCTGACTTCTCAGTTTTGCCAGTTCCCCCACCCTACAAAGGCTATCACTAGTACTGGTTGCTTTTGTTTCCTTTCAGAGATATTCTGTAAATATATGGGAATATATTTGTGTATCTCCCCATTTTTTAATCCAAGTGATAGCATACTATAAATCTCATATCTTGGAGAGTATTCCATATCAGTCTAACTCATTCTTCTGTTTTACTGCAGCACAGTATGGTTGGATGGTTATTTGATTAGCACCATGTTGATGGACTTTTAAGTAATTCCTACAGATTTTTTTTCTTCTGTTTTTGTGTCCTTGCCCTCTTTCTCCTGCCTTGCAGTTTTTCCTAATGCGTAGGTTTCATTTCCTATCCTTAATGATTCTGAAAAACGGGACTCAACTCTACCTTCACGGAGACTCTCACCCTTGTAAGAACTTTCTGATAGATCCAGGCAAGAGTAAGTTAGATTTACCCAGTAAGGCCTTATCTTTTCACTCCACAGACTCTTTGTGGTTAGCTTATGATTATTGATCATGAGCCAGCTAATAAGCTTTTCCACCCCAGCATTCACTTCTTTAAATTGAAGGAACTTTAGGAGAAGTAACTCTGTTTGGCAGGCACCATACCTGTCATCTAGGTCTCTGACATTTCAGGTTGCTCAGACTGCTCACACTGATCAGTGTTCTCCCTTGCTGGGACAGAGCTACTTACCCTTAGGACTTTCCTTTGCTCCTGGACCACAGTTGACCTCCTTTTCCTTTGAAAGTCATTGCTCTTCCTGTGTGATTTTATTTCCACTATAATATAGAGACTTTGAAGATCAGTCGAAGCACATTAACTTTAAATGTATCATAATTGGTTCACTCCCTTTTGGTATGGCTCTATAAAGTATATCTAGTTTCATTTCTGGAGACCTTAACTGTCAGAAGGTTGCTTTTTTACACTTGGTTATAAAAAATAGGAAGCCCCTTCCCAACTTAAACCTCTAGAGATTTTGAGGTGCCCTTGACTGCTGGTCGTTGCTCCAGCTGCATCTTCTTTCTTATTTCTGCCCTTCACGTTGGCATTACCATTCCCTTCTCTGTTTCTGAGGTTTGGTTTTTCCATTTCTAGTTGTCCCTTCTGTCCTGACTTCAGTCCACTTACTCTGGCAGTAAATTTAATTAGTTAAAAAAAAAAAATGTTCCAGACCTTGCAACACCAAGGTCAAGGGTTTGAATCCCCTTACAGGCCAGCTGCCCCCTCTCCCAAACACCAAAAAAATTTACAGGAAAAAAATGTTCAAGAGATATGTTCTCCATTTCTTTTTTAATTTTCAAAATTTTGAAATGTTAAATGTCAGTTTTAGATTGTGTCTGCCTCCCCCACCCCCCCCACTGTGTACAACATTTCCTAGGCTTAGTCTGTAAATCCTTTCTTTCTCTCATGGATCACTTTATGAACACTTAACAGATTCAACAAATGTTTGCTAAATCTGTGCCACATGCTGGACACGATTCCCTGAAGACACAAACTCCCTGTCTTCAAGGAATTCACTCCAATGAGGAAAGGTAGGCCATAAATGTAATACGTTAGAGTTCTAGAAAAAATTAAAACATGAAAAGGGAGTAGGGTGTTCAGAATGGGAGTACAGTTTAAAATAAGGTGGTCAGAGAAGAAAAACCCTGAAGGAAATACTGCAGCAAGTACTGGGGGGTTAAAGAGGGAAGCATCGTGGGCAGTGAATGCAGCAAGTGCAGGGGATACGAGGAGGTACATGTCGGGGATGTTTAAGGAACAGCACAGAGGCCACCGTGGCTGGAGGGCAGCGAGGAGAGGAAATGAGGCAGAGGCTCCTGGGAGCCCAATAGCAGGAGGCCATCTAGGCCATTGCAGGGACTTTGGCTTTTACTCTGAGTGAGATGAGAAGCCATTGCACAGTCATTTTTGAACAGATGAGCAAGGTAATTGATATGTCTTGTGCTGTGCTATATTATTGTCACATATTTCAAGAGTTTATGAACTGATTAAAGACAAAATAGCCTTTCTTCTAGCTCTTCTTGCTTTAAATATTTTCTGCTCAATCAGTTAGGAGTAAGAACTAGATTTAAATGACCCAGTGTTTTCTCATCACTCCCTTCCTTACCCTGGTCTGTTGTGTAGATGCAAAGACCATTGTTATTATTAATATAATTATTTAATAAGCTTTGGCTCTAGGTAGCCAAAAGCTATCATTATTTTTTGGCTTTCTGCAAACTCTCTCCATCCTGATTTAATATATTTATTTACAACTTATTTCAGTACTTCATCCAAAAAGATGAGAAAGTGAGGCCTAAAATGAAACATTTAAATGTAAAGGCTGTGGAAATAGAACTTAAGAAATTAAAATTATGTAGAAGGAGCAAATATATCTGTCCATTTAGGTGACCATTGTGAAGTGATTGACCAATTAATCTGCCCGTGAACTTCCCGGTAGCAAAACTAGGAAGGAAAACAACAGATGACATAATTACACCTGTCTAATTTTTCCAGATGACAGCTCTAGTCCTTGTATTTCTTATACTAATGCAGGTAATCATGTGAAATATGTTTCATAACATCATTTTTCTTCACCAAACACTGATTACTTTCTAAAAGTTGTCAATATTCATTCCAACTTATTACTACTATGCTACTCATTTATTTGAGGGATGTAATTTTTGTTGAAAGAGTCAAATTCCTGCTAAAATTGTTAGTTCACTAGGCATTGAAATTAAAGTTCATTTAAAATTTTTAATTATCTAGTTCACTAGATTTTTAGCTCCTACCTTTGTGTCTCCTGTATCCTTTAAGCAAATAGTTCTTCAGGCTCTTAACCAAAACTCCAAAATGTAAAAAGCTCTGAAAACAGAAAACGTTTTCAAAAGTTAGGTACCAAACTCATTCGGAATGCAAAAACCTGAACTAAAATATGACTATTTAAAAATCTCCGTTTGTTCTTCACTAGATTTTTAGCTCCTACCTTTGTGTCTCCTGTATCCTTTAAGCAAATAGTTCTTCAGTCTCTTAACCACAACTCCAAAATGTAAAAAGCTCTGAAAACAGAAAACGTTTTCAAAAGTTAGGTACCAAACTCATTCAGAATGCAAAAACCTGAACTAAAATATGACTGTTTAAAAATCTCCGTTTGTTCCACTTGTGAATACTCACGTAGTTTGCTACAGAAGTGGTAATAAGTGCCCTACAGCATCTGCTGAGTGTTATATAACATGAGGTGTATGAATCTTATTACTTTTCTAAAATTTGAAAGTGTAAATTCCAAAACAGATCTGGCCCCAAAAGTTTCAGAACACGGATTGTGGGCTTGCAATAGTCAATCCCTAGAATAGCCTAGGTGCCAAGCAAACGTGAACTGAAGTGAAGTTTGATTAATATGACATACTTAGAAGTGAGAAACTTTTCTGCAGCCAGGCCTATGACCTCAAGGCCTTAGGGAATAAAATAGATGATTCAATCTTTAGAAGCAGGGCACTGAAATGTTTCCTTAATTGTTCTCTTAAGGTAGTTGTAATTGGTCTTCAGTCAGACTAATAAATCCCAGGAGAATGAAGTGTTATTCTATCAGTTAAAATTGTTTCTATTAGCATTCTAAAAGGTGCTTTTTGTGTGATTCATATTTTTTTATGTTGGTCTCTGTATCTTTACTTATCACTTTGTATCTTTTTGTTTTTGTTCAATGTTTTTAAAGGTGTCACATCAGCTTTTTTAATACTGGTGATTTAATTGCAAAAGCACACATAAACAATTTGAAAGGTGTGAGCAGAAATTCACAAGTCACATGGGGAAACAGCGACAAAGCTAGCATTCAGTCTGGAATTCATCCACTGTGCAAAACAAATTGCACTGCCAGTGGGTCACATGGTGTATCCTGCAATTGAGTGAGAAATGAGTTTGATACAAGAAACATTTGTTTCATACCAAAGATACAGTGGGAAATATCAAGATGAATTGAATATAGGCTTCACCCTCACAAAGCTTAAGTGTAATAGGGAAAGCAGGACATGTATGTAAGTTAAATAAAATACACACAGACTATACCCGAGGCAAGATTTTGATGCTCAGGAGATCAGGCAAGGAGGTGGGGTTGCCCTTGCTTATGAAGATGAGTCAGAATTGGGTAAATGGAGAAGATGGATTTGCAGAATACAAGTATGAGAAGGACAGAGTCCCAGCTCTCAAGAAGCTCTGGATTTAGTAGTAGAGACACACATAACCACATAAATTATTATGGAAAATAGTAAATATTATAATAGGGGCTATGGAACCATAGAAGAGAATAATAATCCTTAGAGAATAATAATGTGGGCAGGAATTGACCTTCAAGCTGGGTCTTGAAGGACACAGGAGTTTGTCTAGAAAGGTAGTGTACATCAAAGAATCTTCTAGGCAGAATAAATGATAAGATTCTTATTTGAATTTTCAACAGGACAGTTACACTATAGTAACTTTTTATGTTGTCTGTCATTGCAGGTGAATCAAACATCCCTTCTGGAACAGTACAGAGCGGGAAGAAAGGTTTGCAGAATAAGAGTCAGTTTAGGACCATTGCACCGAAAATTGTGCCCAAAGTCCTAACATCCAAAGTGCTGCCATGTCATTCACCATCACTCTCTGATCAAGTGAATCCAGGACCCTCCATCAACTCCAAGCCACTGGGGATGCTTCCTCAGAACTATGCTCTGATGCAGGTTGCTGGCCAGGAAGGGACATTTTCTCTTGTCGCCTTGCCACATGTTGCCTCAGCTCGACCATTCCAGAAACCCAGAATGCCCCTGCCTGAAAACCTTAAACTGCCTATTCCTCGATATCAACCCCCCAAAATTAACAAAGGATCAAGGAAGAAACACATCCTGAGATCTCCTGAGAGTGACTGTAGCAAACCTCCTGCCCAAACCCAAACGTGTCCTCAGATGTCCCCTTCCCCACCCCACCACCCTGAACTCCTGCACAAATGTGATCCATTCAGGCAAGTGCCACCACTAGACCAAGCCCCAGCCAGCGTCAGCATGGCTACACTGACCAATGGAGATTGTCACGGAGATTCAAAACTGCCTATGACCAACAACCATGTAGATCTAAACCCTCATGCCACCCCAACATTGTCCACACCAGAGGAGCCCCGTGCCAAGCAGGGCCTCACAAAGATTTCAGGGAAAGCAAACTTTGCAAGCCAGAAAATATTCAGTAAACCTGCTGCTATTGTCAGTGAAAAACTTAAGGAACAAATTGATCTTGCGAAAGCCATGACCATTTTATCACCAGCTGTTTTTGGCAATGCAGTTCAGTTGATCCCGTCAGTCCCCAAAGGTAAACTGCCAATCTTACCCTACTCAAGAATAAAAACAACAGAGGTTTGCAAAATTGAATCAGATGCTAACATTGCAGATTTTTCCTTGCCAGGACATGGGCCAGACTGTGATAACATATTTTCCATCACAGAAGACTTTAATGCAGCCACCAAAGTGGCCAGCAAGGTGCCTGTTCCACACGTGTCAAAGTACAGCCCTTGTGAAAGTACCTTCTGTCCAGCCACCAAACTAGATTTCAATCACAAATCAAAACTGAATGGTGAGGCAGCAAAGAGAAGAGGAAGAAAACAGAAGGTACCAGAGGAAATTTTGGCATTTCAGGGGAAAAGGAGGAAATGTGTCATTAATAAGCGTAAAGATGGTAAAGAAAGAGTAAAAAATGATCCCCAAGAATCCAGAGACCAAAAATATGGGGCCATGAAAAAATATCGTAGCATTATGCCCAAACCTGTCATTGTCATGCCCACTTTGGGTCTGCTGGCTTCTCCTGCATCTGTGCTACAATCTCCAATGCCCAATGGCCTAGGACAAGACATTTTGTTAAATAATTCACTCACTTCTAAATATCTTGGCTGTAAGCAGGACATCAGCCCTTCCCCTAAGCCCAGTTCAGTGTTCAGAAACAGATCTTCTGGTATTAAGAAGCCTTGTCACAGATGTCACATCTGTAACCACCATTTCCAGTTCAAACGTCACCTTCGAGACCACATGAATACGCACACGAACAGACGGCCTTACAGTTGTCGGATTTGTCGCAAGGCCTATGTACGTTCTGGCAGCCTGAGCACTCACATGAAACTTCATCACAGTGAGAACCGTCTGAAGAAACTCATGTGTTGTGAGTTTTGTGCAAAAGTGTTCGGTCATGTGCGAGTCTATTTTGGCCATCTGAAAGAAGTGCATAGGGTCGTGATCAGCAATGAACCCTCACCCAGTGACCCGCAGCCAGGGGACATGCCAAAGAACAGAGACGATAGTGTGCATGAGCTGGAGGGATCATTGGAGAGGTGAGTACTAATGGAGTCAAAGCCTAGCAAGAAAGTCTGTTTTGATTTGGGGAAAAGGGGAAGATTTCAAAAAGAAGAGTTTATAAAACATCTCTCGGATTAAGATTTCACAAGATAGCTCCCTGTTCCGTTTAGCTTTATGAAGAGTGATCTCATTTCTCTTTGGTTTCTGATCAGTCATAATTTTCAATTACTCTAACCCATGCAAGCCAGGGCATAAATACCAGTTCGAGGTGTTCTGGGGACAGTTGGGTGAGAGAAGATTATTTTTGCATCTGAAAATGAAATAGTAAGTTATTGTATGAGGGTATTTCAAAAAGTACATGGAGAGATTTGTATTACCTTTCAATTCTGTTTTTCTGTGAACTTTTTGAAGTACCTTTCTATGTAGTTCCTGTTAGTCTTTACAAGTAATTTTTCCCAAAATTATGTCCACAGAATTTATATCTAAATAACATCATTGGCCTCAGAACATGGCATGACCCGTGGTGGGGTCTCGGGGTAGGTCAGCTGTATTGACCATCCCCTGAGGTGCCCAGACCTAACCCTCTACATTTGCCTTATATTTTCCATCAGGCCAGATTAACTTTTTCCTGTGTCATTCCTTTTTGCAGATACTGCTTCCTAGCATCCTAAGCAAATAAGCTAAGTAATTTGAAAGCCTGGCAGGCAGGCATTAGAGCAATAATTACCAGAGAAATACCCTCGGTTTGAGCTGTGTGTGTCTACTTTCCACTAAAGTGACTGAGAAAGAGTTTCGCTGAAATTAATTCTCATCAGCACCATGAGAAGTAAACCTTTTCCAACACTTTAGCTTCTCTGCCCTTTGTTATTTTTAATTGTCCCAGTTGCTCTCAATACTTTGTATTCCATTTTGGCATACTCTTTTTAGTCCGTTTTGTGTTGCTATAACAGAACTACCTGAGACTGGGTAATTTATAAAGGAAGGAGGTTTATTTGGCTTACGATTCTGGGACAGCTCCATCTGGCACGGGCCTCAGGCTGCTTCTACTCATGGCGAAAAGTGGCAGGCAGCTGGCAGGTACAAGCAGATCACATGGTGAGAGGAAGCAAGAGAGAGAGAGAGAAGATGCCAGAGTCTTTTTAAGCAAGGAGCTCTTGTGGGAACTAATAGAGCGAGAACTCACTCATTAATCCTCCGTCCCCCAGGGAGAGCACTAATCCATTCATGAGGGATCCGCCCCCATGACTCAATCAGTTTCCAACACTGCCACATTGGGGATGAAATTTCCACGTGAGTTTTGGAGGGGACAACACATCCAAACTCCATCACTTTTGTTCATGTTTTCTGCTTACATAGATCTACAATTGTGAAAATTTTCTGGGTGGCAAAAACGTTTCATTCTCAACCACAGCATCAAGTTAGATGGTAAATGTTGATATTTATTAAATTCTCTGGTTTATTTGAATATGCTATAGAGCAGTATTTTATTAAGGTCATCTACCATAATTTAAAATCCATGTCTTCAGGACTTAGTTTTTTTGTAATTTTGCTATTTTCTTAAATGCACATTGCCTTGAATATTTGTTATTGGCAAGTCTTATAGCTCTAGTTTTACATATCAAAATAATAAAAAAAAAATTTAGTACTTCAGCTAATAAAAAATCATCTTTCCTGGTAAAAAGTTATTTTCTCAAATAGTCTTTGAGGCCAGAAAATTTACAGCCTGGAAAGTGAACTGGATAGTTTAGTCCAGATGTGTAGGTGTCTCAGCTGCTTCCCTTCACTCGAAGTAACTTCAGAGGGTTGTTGCTAGCTGATCAATTTTAGATGCAATTATGCCTTTCAAGCCCAGGTTCTCTTTGAAAGACAAGACTAAATGATTGCCTCTTAAATTCCTGGGAAATTACTTCAAATCAGAAAAGTTGCCATTTGAAGTTTCTGGCCATCCTCACTGCAAAATCATTTTCTTAGAAGGGGAGAGTTTGAGCGCTCATCCTGCTAAAATCTTGGCCTTTGGATGAAAACACTGTGCATGTGGCCAGCCTGTTTGCTGAAGCTTGGCCTGGGCATCGTCATAGCATTTTTCTGTGCTAAAGGAAGTTACTTAAGCAGACTGATAAGCTAGTGGGTTGTAAGTCATCTTTTTAAATGTCTAGTTTTAAAAGCAAGTGTTTGTAGGCATAATTTTGCTCAAATAGTACAAGAAGGGAGAACTCTTTCCCTGCCTTATGCAAATAAGTAAATTTTGCCTTGTAAATTTGAGAATAAGAGGGTAGGAATGGAAATCTCTGAAAGATTTTGCTGCCATGGTTTATCAATTGATCACACTTTACCCAATTTCAAAGAGATAATATCAGTCCTCCACTGTTTTGACATTTTTAGAACCCCAGGTTTTAGTGATGAAGTAGCTTTACTATTCATTGCAGTTCATAGTTTGTTTTTTGGAATATTGGTCTTGAAGACATTACAAAATGACATCTACCAAGAATACTACTTGAATTCAAACCGTGAGACTTGAATTCAAACCGTGAAATAATTTAGAGACTGCTCAGTCCACACATGCTAAGTAGTATTTCAGAAATAGTGGTCAGTTGGCCAAGGACAGAGTATTGGGTCTGGAGTATGTATGGCAGCAAAGGTGTAGGGACAGAATGCACCCACCCAGCGTGTGACAGAAAGTCTGAAGTCCCCAGGTTGTGGAGACGCCTGCCTGTGGCCAGTGTTTAACCACATATTCTTGCAGCGAGAGTATAGGCAGTCTCCAAGAAAAAGTAGAGAGTTAGGCGTGGGGAAAAGAGCAAAGGTAGGAAGAAGATAGATTGGCTCGTGATTAAGTGCTCTGGCTAGATCCCCTTGTAGAATGCATTTCTGAGCAGCAGCTTCAGGGTCCTTTTGGTGATCCACGAGGTGGGGAAGGGGTGTCAGCACTCACAGAAAACTCTTTTTAAAACAGAAGGAAACTTGAGATTGGCTCGTGATTAAGTGCTCTGGCTAGATCCCCTTGTAGAATGCATTTCTGAGCAGCACCTTCAGGGTCCTTTTGGTGATCCACGAGGTGGGGAAGGGGTGTCAGCACTCACAGAAAACTCTTTTTAAAACAGAAGGAAACTTGGGGTACATAGGCGCTCACTGGATGCCTATGTGTATGGGTTCATTTGTAATACAATGTTTGTTACAGTTGTGAGCTTCTCTAAACACTGCCCTGGGTTACAATGGAAATAGCCCCAGTGCCACGCAAGATAAGGAGTTTCTGTACCTTAATAGTAGTACTTCATCAGTGAGAATGCTGGGAAGAAGGGCTCCTGTTGGGGAGGTGAGAAGAAAACAGGGAGTAATTTAGCTTAAGTATCTTTGGGAACAGCTCAGAGCCCTCCGTGGGTGTAGAAATGTTATTCGCACAGTTCCAATCTGTGTACTTAAGCCAAAGGCACTGCAGTGTAAATTGCTCTGATACTTACAACGTGTGACCTGGAGAGCTCTCTGTCGGAGGCTTCATCCCTCTCTGTAAAATGAGGGTGATGGTCCTACCTCAAGGCGTTGTTGTGAGGAGTCAATGAGACAAAAAAATGTCTGGCACACTTGGCCCAGCCATTAACTGATGGCTGGTATTTGTCATGCTTTTGGCCACACTTGGAAGAAGAGATACTTTATACCATATAAAGATAATTTAAAACAGCTCAGGTAGACCTTAAGTACAGAACTCAAGGATGAGAACAATACTGAGAACCACAAAATTTGCATCTTTGCATTAGAAGTGCATTTTAATTTTTAAATAAGTAATAAAACTGGAATTTGGATTGCATGGAGGTTTGGTAAGTATCTTTTCAATCAATAGAGAAAGCAAAATTCACTCAATTCTTTTCTGTTCTAGGCTCCACTTTGGGGCTTATCATCCTCGGGTCTCAGCCTAGGAAGCAGCTCTTCCCTGCAGCCACCCCTCTGCCCACCTTTGTCCTCTGTCCTAGCTGTGATCATAGCATCCACCCCACTGTCCAGAAGCCAACTGTGGACTGGCTCCTTCCCACAACTAGACTATAAGTCTCTTGAGGGCAGGGACTGTGTCTTTGTTCTTGTTCAGCACAGAGTCCTAGAGTGTTCAGTATCTGACATGGAATAGTGCACAGTAGACACTAGTTTTTAAAAATAGATACATGGATATATTAACTAATTACAACAAAATTGCCACTCCCCCCCCTTTTTTTTCTTTTTTAAGGATGGGTGGTAGAAAGAATGACACAGAGCAAGGTGGGGGTGTTGTTTCTGTCTCTTACTACATAATACTCCTGTGCCTTGATTCCAGTAGCAGCAGTTGAAAGAAGCTGTAGTAAATATGAAACCCCATAATAAGGAGCATGAGTAAGAGAATGGAATTAATGATCAGTATATTTTTTTAATTTATTATACATATTCACAGGACAGAGAGCTGACCATCAGCGCCTGTGCCCAAGATGTGATGATCAGATCAATACTATCAGCACACCCACCACCTCAAATTGCAATTGTTTCCCATGTCCCACCCAACCTCTCCCCAACCCCCCCTTCCCCAGCAACCCTGAGTCCCTCTGCAAGTCCAATGCACCACTGTGGTTTTTCTTTCCTTCCTTCTTTCTCTCTTAGTTCCCACTTATGAGTGAGGACATGTGGTATTTTTCTCCCTGTGCCTGGCTTATTTCACTTCACATAATTTTCTCTAAGTTTATTCATGTTGCTGTGAATGGCAGAATTTCATTCTTTTTTATGGTTGAGTGGTATTCCATTGTGTGTGTGAGTATATATATATACACACACACATACATACATACATACACAGATCACATTTTCCTTATCTAGTTGTCCATTGATGGACATTTAGATTGGATCTCTATCTTGGCTGTTGTCAATGGAGCTGTGATGAACGTGGGAGTGTAGGTATCTGTTCGACATAATGATTTCCATTCCTTTGGGTATATTCCCAGAAGTGGGATTGCTGGGTAGTATGGTGGATATATCTGTAGTTGTTTGAGAAATCTCCACACTGTTTTCCACAGTGGCCTTACTAATTTAAAGTCCCATCAATAGTGTAGAAGAGTTCCCCTTTCTCCACATCCTCACCAGCATTTGTTATTCTCAGTCTTTTTAATAATGGCAAGTCTAACTAGGGTGAGATGATATCTCAACATGGTTTTAATTTTTATTTCCCTGATGATTAATGATGTTGAGCATTTTTGCATGTACCTGTTGTCCATTCGTATGTCTTCCTTTGAGAAATGTCTATTCAGCTCCTTTGTCCATTTGATAATTGGATTATTTGGTTTTTTATAGTGTAGAGTTGTTTGAGCTCTTTATATATTCTGGATACTAATCCCTTGTCAGATTTATAGTTTGTAAATATTTTCTCACATTCTGTAGGTTGTCTTTCCACTATGTTGATTGTTTCCTATGCTGTGCAGAAGCTTTTTGGTTTGATATAATCCCATTTGTTTATTTTTTCTTTTGTTGCTTGTGCTTTTGGGGTCTTATTCATAAAGTCTTTGTCCAGTCCTATTTCCTGAAAAGTTTCCCCTGTGTTTTCCTTTTAGTACTTCTTTTTATTTATTTAT